AGGTCACTGACATTACCTTTCCTTCATGAATCAAGTGCCCTCACACAACAAAAGAGAGTAGTTCCACACAATAAAATTTAAGAACACTTAGGAACTCAAGATAGAAAGAATTCACTCACTCTCAGAAATAACATTCATATGCCACAAAAGATGCACCATAAGCTTGCCCGTGGTATACTACTCCACTAATCGAGCTCATTCAATCTAGGATCAATTAGGACTTTATTTGGTTGTAATGTAGGCTACAGGACGGGTAGGATATATTTAGATATAAGAGTGACTACACCTCCCTAAGCACTTTAATACATAACTTTAACATTCAAACCCCATACTTATGTCAAACCAAACTCCACCTTCACATCAATGTATATTACCCCATACTTCTTTAAGCACACTTACATCAAAAGCCACCACTTATTAAGGAATATTTTTTTTTTCACAACAATCGAACTATTTTTTCTTTTTTTTTTCAATTCAAGTGGCTCTTACTTTTTCAAAACAGTGCACCTTTCTCCTTATTTAATTAGTTCCACTCAAAAGCCAAACCAACCACCCCACACTTTAACCTTTACAAAGTTCATAAACAATTCAAGTGCTCATGAGAGGTTACAATTGTTCAAATAGATGTTTAATTCAAACAAATGGGTAAGGCATGTAATGTGGTTGCCAAAGAAATAGGATTACAGGCTCAAAGGGGTTAACTACAATACATAATAATTAGGCGGGTAAAATATACATATCTGGCTAAACAAAGAAATGCCTATATCACTTCCTAGACTGAATAAAACTACTATTTCGCTTTGCAAACACACGGGGCAAGTTCTAGGCATCAAATGCAATGCACAGAATATAACAAATCCTTACACACACATGGCACATAACTCACTCAGGATTGGTTTCATCAAGACATTCTAGTCAAAGCAGTTAAGCAAAATTAAGATCATACAATTTAAGGTACTTATACAAGAGTAAAAAACTGAGCCTAAGCGTCACAGCCAAAGTACTCACTATTCTCAAGGCATAACCAAGTCAAGAGATATTGCTTCAATTCAAAACACAACACAATGGCTCCTACTCCCCAAAAAAGAAACTAACTACACCCGGTTCAAATAAAACCCTTGGAAAAGAACCGCGGCATAAAGAAAAACCAAGGGGGAATTATTATACTACCTACAAAGAAAATCTTTTTTTTAGACTTAAATCCCTCAAGAAAATTATCTAATAGATCCATCGTCGGGAAAAGTCCAATCTTTTAAAAAAAAACTATTTAATTAAGCTAATACAGCTAAAGTAGCATGAAAAGTCACCCAGACAATCTCATCACCCCACACTTAAAATTGTGCATTGTCCCCAATGCACAGCATAACCATAAGAGGGTAAGAGAAACTCCCTGTTAGGCCAAAGGCCGAAGCACTAGCAGTTCATGGGGTACTCAAACTTCTCCCAGGCTTGGTCCTTCGTGCGGGTACCTCACACTTAGTTCCAACCATTTGATTTACTGTTGCATCCTTCCAATACCTTTGCTTTCCATGCTCCTAAAAAATAAAAGAATTGACACTACAAAAATAAATACAATCAAAAAAATAAAAAATAAATAAAAGAAAGCAATAAAGCTGGGTTGCCTCCCAACGAGCGCTTGATTTAACGTCGCGGCACGACACGGATCACTTTTTGCCTCCACCTCGAGCTTATGAATTGAACCCCAAGTTTTGATTCAAGCTTATGATTATGGTCATGGGGCGGTGGAACGAATCTAACTGGCCCAAGGAAATAATGTAGTATTCTGCACTCCTTGGCCTTTGTATGAGGTATGTAATCCTGACTTTCTGGCAAGAAGAATTCCAGAATATATGCACCTTGTTCCTCATTCCTTGACTCTTTGATTGGTTCAAATGACTCTATTTTCATATCACCGTCCAAACATAATGTGGAAAAATGCTTGGAGTGTGGACCAATGCGCTCAAACACATGAACTTCAGAACTTTCAACATCCTCAACATCAATGATACTAGAGTCAACAAAATTTATATCCTCAAAGTCCTTGGTTGGCTCTAGTCTCACTTCTTCAACATTGACATCCTCAAATTGTAGTTGGCTAGGTTGTTGATGTTCTACTCTGACCTCCCCAATTAACACCTCAAATTCATGCTCTTCTTGGCTGCTATCCTCAATATTGGCTTGTTGAGCATTAAAAGCCCCAACCACTTGACTCAATTGAGCCTCCAACTTGCGAATAGTTGCCTCTTGCCTTTCTATGTGCAATTGTTTCTCATTGTTTTGTTCCAGAAGACACTTTAGCATATCCTTGATCTCCTTCAAGTCCGCATTCCCAGCTTCTTTGTTCCTATTAACTTCACAAGAAAAGGTAGAACCATCATAGTAGCGGGTTGGGAGAAAATAAGAAATATAAGCATAACCATGAAGGTAACCATTTTTACCACCACACACATTCCACAAATAAGATTGAGTTGGTGCACATAACTCGCTCTCAGGAACGTTTTGAAAATTTTGCCACGGGTTGTTTCCTTTACAATATGTATGGAGATCAATAGTAGAATTATCTACACCTAAATTCCCATAATTCCAAGATGTCATGTTTCTCAAATCAACAGTTATAAAAAAAAATACCAAGAAAAAAACAAAATAAAATAAAAGTTCAAACTTGAACCCTAGCAATATATACAGCTACAACTACACCGTTAGTTCCCCGGCAACGACGCCAAAATTTGGTCACGCCCAACTCTAGTCCTAAAAAGGATAAGCGATCGCTGCAAATATACTCCGGTCTAAAAGTCCGGAGTCGAATCCCACAGAGAACTAAGGCTTAGCTATATCTGTTTAATATCACTGAGAAGACAAGTTTGAACAATTTTCTAAATTATAAAGATTGAGATTTATATTTATAACTAATTAACTAACAAATACTAGAAAACGGTAAAATTATCAACTAACGAGACAAAGGGTTGGAGACTAAATTAAGGAGGTCTAGGGTTATGATTTTTCCAATTGTCGGAATCCTTCTAACTATGTTCCCTACAATTTTGCCAATGTATTCTCTACTGATCGTGAACACTTTAGGTGCTGTAATTCTCTCTCGAGCAACTACAACAATTTACTAGACATATTATCTCGAACTACGCTAGTTGGCTTTATCTAACCCCGCATTATGACCATGTCAAAGCCTCGTTATCTCTAATCCCGCTTTTAAACCTTCCGTATTGATTTCTCATATACTTTAGGAGTGATGTTATTCAACAACCACCTAAATATATGTTCTTTCTCAAGCAACACATACTAAATAGGCACAGTCAATCAATGGCCATTCAACCAACTGAAATAAGCACGTAGTTGAACAAGTAGATAAATCCAAAGGTTAAATTATATTAAAACATAACAACAATTCATCCTCCAAGAGGTTCCATCAAAACTCTAGATAATAAATTAGCTATTCATAAAAGTATGTGAAAACACAATACTCCAATTCATAACCAACAATAAAATAGGAAGAAGAAGGGGAAAAACTCGTAGTTGAATCTTCCTCCTTGCTCCTAGCGTGTTCTTGCCTCCAAGGGTATTGTCTAACCCTAAAGTAGTGTCTCTCCCTTCAAAGTGGTATTTTAGGATGTATTTATATGACCTAGGGTTGATGAGGGGCGAAATTCTTCAATCCAACTTCGGATAGGAGAGCTGGAATCCGCGTCTGCCTTCACGTCTAGACGCGGACTTTGACGCGGATCCGCGTTTGCCTTCGCGTCTAGACGCGGACTTTGACGCGGATCCAGCTTTTGAAATTCTTCCATTTCGCGAAGCGCTCCGTGCCTTTGCTTCGCTTCGCTGTTTTGTACCTTAACTTTTCTCCTTTTTCGCGTCCGACTTCGTGCCACGCACGAGAATAGACGAGCTCCCACTCCTTTAATTTCTTCTTTTTGTGTCGAATTGTCATCTTTTGATCATTTATCATCCAAAGTCGTTCCTACACATAAGAAACACATAATGAGTATATTTCACTTTGAAAATCATATAATCTCCCGCGACACACACAAGAATTAATATGCAAATATACTCAAAAATATGCACTTTTCATCATTTATCAATATACATTGTCATTATATAAGAGGCCTCCATGGAAGTTTGACACTTATCTTCTTCTTCTTTCTCTTATTCTTTTGATATACATTATTATACTTCCATATACAAATTTATACATAGTTATACATCATTATACATGTACTGCATATGTATAATCAAATAATTATTTTCATGTTTTCTTACTTTTTCTAGAATAATTCATGTATAAATCTACTTTCCTTGTTGATTTCTCCGCCAAATCACGAACTTGCAGCAATTATTTTCAATTTTACCAAATAAGTTGAATCAGCGAAATTGAAAAAATGTAAGCTACTCGGTTCTTTATCTTGTTTACCATTTTTGAGGAAGAATCCTTTAACTCGAGCAATTTTATATTTTGATTATAGGATGATATATTAGGAGAGGTCATTAAAGACAAATTGGTGGAGAAAGATCAAAATTATATGACGGAAGAATTAGAAAATCTCATGACTTTACAAATCTTAGCCTATTATTTTTGGGCTACAGATTTGTAAAGTTATGACTGGACTATTATGTTGCAAGTCAAATGTGTGAGTTGTATTTATGTGAAATTATCCCTTTATAATAATCGGTTTATATTTAATTATTTTACTCTTAAGGGACTGAAAACATATTTTGCAATGTTTGAGTTTTACAAAACCCAATTATCTACGCCATCTTCCAAATTTTCGCAGGAATAAATAGATAATTATATGGAGCCAAAAATTATTGTCTTCGAGGTTGTTGTACATGAATGGAAATCAAAGATTCAACAAATTTGAACTTTCAAATTATTTCTCTATTTTAATTACGTGTAATCCGTATCTTAAATTCCTCAACTATTTTCGCACCACCTCAAATTTGCAACAATATGTTAGTCTTTAAATATCGATAAAAATTAATATGTTTATAAACGCAAGTAGGTATTACCTAAAACTCTTAACATCAATTGTTAATATTTTCAATCTAATTAGTAGGTATTACCGAAAAATTGGAACACCGGATGTTATCGGAGTTTTAAGGAACAATAACAGTTGGTGGCCTTTAGGATTGCTTCCCATTTGAATTATTGGTAATTTCTTCAGGCTATTTATTTTTAGTTTAATCATGAATTCATTTGTGATATTTCTTCAAATTATACTTTTTCTATTCATGAATTCATACATGATATTGATAAGTCCATCTGGCTGATTGGAACCTTTGAGGATTTAGGGAGCACGATTTGCATTTACAAACAACTAGACTTATACGCGCTTTGCGTGTGTTCCCCTTGATTTAAAAAGTTACATAAATACTATTCAAATATTATGTTTGAGTTATAAAATAAAAATATAAACTCCTAAAATTGATTAATATTGATCCTATATCCTTGAATTAATAAAGAAAAAGACTTTGTCTCAAATTCAGTTTAAACTTTATTCTAATATCATAATTTTATCAGTTTAATTTCACAAGGTATCATGCTTCTTTTTTAATTTCAGCATGAACACATAGCCCTTAAGAATCTAAAAAAACTCCAAATCCATTTGAGGAGACACAAACAGAGTTAATTAGCTATACTTTTATTGCAATTCCTCAAAGATTTTTATAATAGCACAAAATATTAATTGCATATGAATTAATTAATTTAGGGGCTCAATTGAACATAAATAAATTGTTTTGTATAACTACAATAAGAAATTTTTTCTTTGGTGAACGATGCTTATCACGTTAAGCATCCTAAATTTGCATATATGGATTTGCTTTCAATTAGTATAATTTATATAAGATGCAATATAATAGATTTCAAAGTTTTAAATATTAGGACTTCTACCTAGTTTAAAAGGAAAGACTTGACAAATAAAATTTAGTTGCTTCCAAACTCCTAAATATTAGGAAAGTAGCATAAATTATATTTTGTCCAATGTAAAATTTATTTTTAAAGGCTAAAAAAAAGCGAACGACATTTCGTGCTTTTAATATAGTATATAGATAGATGCAGATAAATAAGGTCCAAGGATTGCACCTAGAATTCCAAGAGAGTGTGAATAGTGCATAATAGCCCCACTCTTGACATTGAATTAAAAATAAATATTTAATCATACTTAGTGTTTACAAAGCTAATGAATACATGATATGTGTATATTATCTATCTTTTAAGTTTTTGCACATCCTTTAGAAAATATATTTGTAACCTTAATCATAATCTTTTCCTAATTGTAGCATGAGTATATGTTCTTTTGTGTTAAACATAAACATGTTTTTGTGAATTCTAGAATCTGTACCATCATCATTTCTCTAACCCATTATGTTTTAATCATGTTTAATTTGTTTTACAGACAAATTAAAATGGCATCACATCACTACTTTATCTGCTTTCTTGTCATGGTCTCTCTTATGATCAGAATTAGTGAAAGTAAAGCATGCCACCCTAATGATCTCAAGGGTCTCACTGATTTCAAAGCTGCAATACATTCTGATTCTTCTGGTAGGCTAAAAAACTGGATTGGCCAAGATTGCTGCAATTGGCCTGGCATTTCTTGCAATTCTGAAACAGGCAGAGTTGTAGAAATTAATCTCCCTGGTTACTATGACGCCGGCGATGAATTTGCTCCTTTTTTTGTATCAAATACTATGAGTGGCTCAATCTCTCCTTCAATTACACTTCTCACTTCTTTAGAATCTATTGATCTTAGTAGACTGATTGGATTAACAGGCCAAATTCCTCCATCAATTGGTGTTCTCAAAAATCTCAAAAAACTTACCTTACAAAACAATCAAATCTCTGGTGCATTACCTGAGTCCATTTCAAACTTGACAAATTTAGAGTTCTTGAATCTTGAAAATAATCTCTTGACGGGGAGTATACCAGAAAATATTGGGAATTTGCAAGCACTACAGGAGCTTTATTTGTCGAATAATTCATTAACTGGGAAAATCCCATTTTCAATTACGAAACTACATTCCATTTCAGGTATTTTCCTAGCACAAAATCAGCTTGTGGGAGAAATACCATTGCCTTTAAATCCAGGCCAATGGTCTTCACTGCAACACTTGAGACTCGAAAATAATCGACTCACTGGAATTATACCTCCATCAGTTGGCTACTTGACATCACTTTTGAGATTTTCTGTAGCAAATAATCAGCTTACAGGGCCTATTCCTTCCACTATAGGGAACTTAAAATATATGCAACAATTGATGGTCAATAACAATCAGTTATCTGTTGTGTTACCAAACTCCATATGTGGAGTTACTCAACTTGATGTCCTGTTTATTTCTCATAACAAGATTGTAGGACCATTGCCTGATTGTCTTTCTTTCTTTAAATATCTTCGAGAGGTCGATGTGCCATTCAAACGTTTGAATTAAAACCTATATGTAAGAAAGATGTAAGCCAGGATGACTGGCCAGTGTGAAAAATCTATTAAGCTTTGACCATATGTATTGTTTCTTCAACAGCGACTCTTCCTTCTTCTTTTATCGAGTGTTTTTCATGCTTATTTCTAATTTCTTCGCATTCAGAATTTAAGAAAAATGACTAATATATAGATGTATAAAAATTGCTGGCTGTGGGGTTCGAACCCACGCGCACTTATGTGCAGAAGATCTTAAGTCTTCCCCCTTAACCTCTCGGGCAAACCAGCGATAGTGACAGCTCAATTCTTTGAGCTACAAATAAGCAAAGTCACATTTGGAGAGATTTATTTCAATCCTTGTCTTCTGGGAAAAAAAGTTGAGAGAATGTACTTAAAAAAACTTATTACTCCCACCGTAATAATTTAACCATAATACATTGAGATTTCTTTATAACAAGATCTCTATATAATATTCATTCATTACGAAAGTCATAGCTTTTTCCAAATCGAATTTTTTATGTTATATTTTACTTTCCATAATAATTGTTTTGCCCACAACAACAACCATCTTTATAGCTTTTATTCTCTTTATAAAATTGCAGCTCTATAACAACCACATAAAACTTTTAAATTATCGATAAAAAGCCTAAAGATTTTAATCCGATCAAATTTCTTAAAACTTTAATGCACCATTTATAATTAAAAATATTATATTACATACTTTTATAATTAAAGATTTCACTTACTTCAATTAAAGAATATGCTTGTATATTTTTATTTCATTGCACAAGTTCAATTATGCATAATATCTAATATTTGAAGATCTACACATGCAATCTTTTTCATTGGACAAAATTTTCATCTTGTATAATAAGTAAGATTTGAAGATTCGCACATACTTTTTTCAGAGTTCTTCCATCAATCTTGAAAGAATTTAATTTTCTAGTAGCTTTAAAATGCGTGCCTTAGAGTTTAAATCTTTGTACATTTAGTTATGAATTTATTAACAACTTATTAGCTTTTTTAATATTTAATTAGTATAATATGCATATCTTTTGAGATTTTAAATTTGATCATTTTTCTTATCTTTTTATATATAATACTGAAACAAAAAAAAGTTAATTTTTTGATAGTTTTTGTCTATAACAACCAGAAAAGTTTAAATGCCTAATGCTGTTATAGGTGTATTACAACCATTCATTATAAAAATCTAAAAATATTGAAACAAATGATATTGTTATATAAAAGTTTGATTGTAGTTACAGATTAAAGTGAAAATAGTGATAAATGATCACATAAATTGCACATATTTTCCATTTAGTGATTTATAGTTACATTTCATGCGCATGTCGTGAAATGATATATTTTTGCACCATTATTTGACTAAGTGTTTCCAAATATATATATATATATATATATATATATATATATATATATATATATATATATATATATGTATATGTATATATATATAGTTAGGCTTTCATAACTAGCTTTTGAGAAAATTATGGAAACACCTTAAATATAAACTAGAGCATTCGATCATCGTCATGATAGTTTTCGAAGAATAAACATTCTATCAATCTAGAAATATTGGTAATTGACTAATGAAAATAATTGTAAATCTCATTCACAAGCTACGGAAGATAAGCTATGCTCGGAATAAAACCTCTCTAATAAGTGACTAGAAAATTTAACTATCTTATGATTAACTGTTTCATTTTTTCAGTAATTAAAGAAACTGTTCCCCTTTCTACAAATTAAAGATAAATGAAGAAACTTAGAAAAGCATCATTCAAGCCTGAGGTGCATGTTATCTTCGGTCTTCACTACCACGGAACACTCCAATAGGTTATAATTTATCTTGATAGCATTTGATTCAAACTTTAATTTATCCGTTGTATGTCCGATAGATCTAATTGCATGCTTGTACGGGGTAAAATTAGTTTATATTAAATGATCGAATGATTGCATGACATGTGGAATAAGAGGCAGAAGATGAATCGAGTGAAAACCAAGATCGAGGACAACAACTTTGGCTGCTATCGGGTAGATCCCGAAGGGAACGCAGTCAACGGAAGCAAAAAAAATGCTTGTCACAGATGTCATTTAATGAAGAATATTCCTCAGTATTAAATAGGCAGCCGTTGCATAGAATTTTGGCATTCATGGCCTGCCGTTACATATTCATCAATGGACCCCATTATTGTCATTTAAAAGGAGCTTGATCCTAGGATCTTGTTTCCTAGGTATAGTTATAAATAGGGACTTCAACAACCATTGTGAGGGACATGAAATCTCTGGCAAAACTTATGTAATACTTTATTCTCGAGCTAAAGAATACAACTTTCCTTCCTGTGTGATATTGCTCTTACTGTTGTCCTCGGAAGCATTGCTCTCGGAGCCAAACTTGCTATTTCTTTCGAATTTAACGCTAAGTCTCACTTTTAATTTAATTTATTTATCATTTTGGATCAAACCAATTCGCTTGTCTATAAACCACGCAACAAATTTAACTATACCGTTTTACGGGTAAATAGCTTGGCGCCCACCGTGGGGCTTAGACAATTGCATAATTGAGTTGATCCTTGCATCTATCACTAACTTGTTTGATTCTTTGTTTCATAGCAAAAAAAATGACAGCTAACGATGTCAACATCGCGCACGGCGTTAAGGCACATGAAAATCTGCCCCAACATGAGGATTCAATCAATGACACCCGCAACGAGGATGACGTATGCAACCTCGGCCCATGGTGGACAATATCCCCGACATGTGAGTAAAATGACTCCCGATGACGCGGAGGACGAGCATGTTGCAGAAACAGTAAGGATCTTGAGAGAGTAACAAAAATCCATCATGGGCCCTCTCTTAAGGAAGGACCAGATATTAAAGCAGGCATTATCAGGCGCTTCTAACAACGCAAACGGAAGAGGCCCAGCTCCTCCTGGCGTTCCTGCAAATCAGACGGCTCAAAGATTTGATAATAATACCCCGAGGGGTGAGGTTGGCTTCAATGGAGCCGCGGGGGGAGGGGGGGACCTGTAGCGGATCCAGTAACGACATCGCTTCAAAACCAAACTCATGAGATTCATCAGAGAAATGAACGAGCGGATGGATCAGAACACGAAAGATTTCCATACTCGAAGCTACTACAAAGCTATCTGACTTGTTTAGTACTGTTGCAGCGCAGTCCACTTCTCAGGCACCTCAGGCTCCTTCTACCATTGATGAGACACTGAAGAAGCTTTTGGAGAACTAGAAAATGATCATGGCTACCTTGGTATAGCACGAGTCAGTGATTGAAGAGCTCGAAAAGGAAGTGAAGAAGATGAGGAAGTCCCAGGCCAGCAAGAAATCAGTGGATAAGCTCCGAAGGGAGATGAACAAAATTGCTACAGCCGGAGACCTTTCCTTCGATATGCTGATTGACCCGCACCAGTCTGCCCCAGTTCCTTCAGCACCATCTACACGGGTAGAACCAGCTGGCCAGTCTGACGAGCCAGACCTTGCTGCCGACACTGCTGAAGCAGTGCATGAGATGTTCGCCAACCAGCCACGCGAAGAATTGAGGATGATGAGATTTAGTTGGCTGATCCAGAGGGAGATGAAACTGCTGGGGACACTGAGATGTCCAAGGACCCTTAGGGAGTTTTCTTCACCCTCTCCTTGTTTACTCTTAATTTGCTAAGCATTGGGGACAATGCTTCTTTTTATTGGGGGGGGGGGGTGAGTTTATTTGACACATTTGGTACACTTTGATACATTTGGCCTGTAATAAATTGATGATACTTTTTCTTTTCTTATTTGTATTTATCTATCTTTTCTCTCTCTTATTATGTATATTCATTCTATCTTTAGTAGTTTTGCTTATTAGCTTCTTTATCTTTTCCATATTAGTTCTTGCATTGTTAAGTAGCTTCTTTTTATTTTTTAGTAGATAATAAGCCTTTGGTTTTCTTAACGCTACGGTTCTTTCCAAAGGTAGTTATTGTGTGAACCGGGTGACTCGTCCCAACGATGGATGGAGTGACAACCTTTTTAAGGGAATGAGTCCGTTATATGTTTAGGTAATAATAGTAGTAGTAATGAATAAAAAGACCTAATTAAGTCATGCTCGAAGAGTCAACCATGCTTCAATTGGCACCAACACACTTGACGGCGAGCTTATGGTTAGAGACAAGGTTTTTTGAAAGGAATAGCTCTAGTTAATGACTTTGTGACTCTTGAGTTAACTTTGGTAATCATCGAGTGGTTTAATTGGACCATAGTGATCTTTAAACTTGAATGTGGTCGTTGTAGGCTCTCGATTCTATCCTCTTTTACAATCTAGTTGTGTGAGGGGTGATATGAATTATTGTTAGTCCAAGTATCCACGCGACGGGTCTAGGACTTGCTCTGAATGTGTTTCAAGGCGAAATCCTAAGTTTTGCTTGGTTTGAGAAGCGATTGTAGGCTCTCCTTGGCCCGTTTGAGCTTTCTATTGCCAACCATTGTTGTTATCCCTAGTCAAACCCTTTAAGCCTCTAGCCTTTCTCATTTGATAACCATGTTACAAGCCTTTACCCGTTTTTTCGTGACCCTCCTTGGCACCCGGACTTCCTTAACACTCTTGTGAAACAAGTGGCTTAAAACATAAGTTTGGAGGAGAGATGAGGAATTTGAAAAAGGTATTAAGGCACAAAAAGAGAAAAGAAATGATCTCTATGAAAAAGAAGGCAAGAAAGGAAAAGAACAAAAGAAAAATGCAAAACGTGAATAAGTGGAAGGGTTGATGGATTCAAAAAAAAAAAGGTAACGATCCCAAACATTGAGAAATCAAAAATGGAGAAAAAGAATGAATTGATCAACAAAGAGTGATGTAAAGTATCTCTAGTCCCCAATGAAAAGAAAGTGCCTCGAAGAAGTTAATTGTGAGGCGAGAAATAAAAGATGGAGTGCTTAAGGAAAGGCGTAACCGCTTACCCATATGGTATCTTACCCTAACCCAAAAACCTTCACTACACCCCGAAAGAATTCCTACTTGATTTCAGACCGAGTGAGCTTATATTAGTGGCAATCTACATTAGGGGCAAACCTATGGTACTTGAAGCCGTAATTGAGACATTCTTTTGTGAGAGAT